AGGGGGGGGGGGGGCTATGCTTTGGTCATTTGTTTAAATGCTTAAAACAACCTTTGCAACAAGTGACCTTTCACGGTTGTGTGAATGATGATTGGGCCCTCTCAGATGCAAATGTGGAAGTAGACTATTAAACGACTGAAAATGTATCGTTCTTTGCATCCTTTCATCTTTTTTACTTTAATCATCACAATCTTTTTGACCTTCAGTCACAATGTTTAGTTGCCAAAGCTTAGCAATCACTTACCATATATATATATATATGTAAAATAAGAAAAATTATATTAGTCATTTCTGAAACAGCTAGTCACATGGGTCGTTTTGAAACACACTGCCAAAACGAGGACTTACAAATCACTCTTAAAGCACTTAGACCAGACTATCCCTAGGCTAAAAAGGAAGCAGTGTAAAGGGCGCTGCCTGTGATACACAAGCATTTAGCAAGAACTCACAGTGTACCAAGACAACGCAGCGCTGATTAGGTTGAGTCAGCTAATGCAGAGTGGATGGCTCCGGCTAGGAGGAAACACAACAGCACATGGGATTACCTATCCTGTCCAGATTCATTGTGCTGGGGAGGATTTAATTGCACCATTTATTGCCAGGAAAGAGCAAATGTTTGCCCTGGAAGCCTGGGGGAACCCGGCCACCCACTCACCTACTCAGACGCTCACACTGTGATGTCAGCACACTTCTTTGTCAGTGGGACTAACAGAGGCAGAGGACAGCCGGAAACAGGAGAATAAAAGTGCGAAGGTGTATAGTGTTGTTGAGCGAAAGCTGGGGAGTCGCTGTCCTTGAAGCTGGCCGTGCAGCACACGCACGTATCAAGTCTATCAAATTGGAAATAACATCTTACATCAGTATGGGCTCCAACACTATTCTGTAACTCCAAATGAATTTGAAGACATGGGATATAACAGGTCCTGAGAAACATGAATATACCACTGCTCTGCTACCCATATTTTTATTGTAACACTGGTTATCATCGTTTCAGATAGGTGAGATAAAGCTGTGATGCTTTAAAATCTTAGTTCCCAGAAAAACTCCTCCATGGAATGGAAATCTCTATCTGACATATAAGCAACAGAGTTTTATTGTTCGATCCGCCATCGTCTAGTGATGCGAATCGTTGCCCTTAGACAGTCATGCCTTGAAACTGATGTACTCTATATTCTCCTAACAATCCATGGGTTAAATGGTTATCAACTGTCTGAATGACAAGCAGTGGTACTCTCAGTATTGAGGATGTATAAAGGCTTTTCTGAGAATGCCCTGGACTGTCTTTGTCCTTGTTTTCAGTCCTAGAAAGATAACTAGTTAAGGAATGATTTGGGAGTTTTAACAATTACAAGTTGAAATCAGACGGTCAGTGTTTGATCAAGAAAAATCTCACGTCTTTGTTGTCTATTGGTTCACAGTAATCATTTGCCGGTAAAAAGCAATCATCTATTAAAATATCTCAGTGTCTATATTGAAGCTGTTCAAGTTAGTGGTTTGTTTGGAAGGGACACATATACAGTTTTACAACTAAGAAGGTTTATAGAGCTGCAGGTGCTTAGATTGTTTTATATTTATTTAACCAAAAAAAACCTTTAACTTATCCACCACATTTAGCTCAGTTTTAATCTATGCACTTACATAACTTACAACTTCACTTAATCAGTTGTATCAAATGTACAAATTGAGACGGATAAGGACATATTTTAACCTTTATGACAAGTCACTCTGGGTTTCAGTCTTATTATTGGAATCCTTCTGTGTGTCTGGGCTCAGCTGTCTGCAATCATTTGTTACCTGGTGTCACTGGGTTGAATGAAGCTATGGTCTCTGG